ATAAGCTTTCAGAGCTAAAATTGTTATGACACTTAAACAAAGTGAATTATCATTATGTGAGATGAAACCGCAAAGAGAGCAAACAAGGTCATGGGTTTGAATTGCTTAAAGTGTATGTGTAACTGCGATGATCAATCATGTTTTCATAGTCTTTCTCCGCAGTTCAAATATATGATCTTTCACATGTTCACTTGTAAACCAGACAGCTCTTGACATAATATTCAAATTCTGTTATGTAAAGAACTTCTTCTTGAATGACAAAGGAAACTGTTACAACAAAAGCAGGATGTTTTGGTGGCTTGGCGTGGCGATCGTCTTTTATTTCATTCAGACACTTGGCATAATACAAAGTGTAATTCGCAGATTGCGTCATAGGTGCCATGCCCTTAAACCTTTGGAACCGTTAACGTGCGCAGTGGCAGATCTAGGGGAGGGGCCCGGGCCCCCGTTATTTTGGGTAAAAAAGAAGAAATCACAGAAGAAAGAAAATCCGGCAAGGCAAGCAAAACAAAACCGGGCCCCCCCGCCTCAGCTCAGGGTCTGGATCCGCCACTGGTGTGCTTCTATCACGAGCGCTAAAGAATGAAGCTTATAAGATGTGTCATACAACAACGCCAAAACGTTTTGGAAAAGTCATCCGTTTCTTCGAAAAATTTACCTGAAATACCAGAAGGAATAAGACTGGAGCTCAATCATTAACAAATGTACACAATGTGAAAGAAATACAGTGGATTATAATTGGAATGACGCTCCTGTGATTACTAAATACGATATCTTCCATATTAGGAAAGTGAAACTAAACGTGCGGAACTACACTTGACTATTATTTTGCACTGTAGTGTTACTATTAGAAAAGTGTCCTTAAAAATCAGCGTTCCATTCAAAAACTTTGTGGTGTGGTGTTTCTGCGGGATTTGAAGTTAAGAGTGTCTATATGTCTCGCCGAGTGAGAGGGCTTCATCATTCATCCATCGACGACAATTTGGCAGGGGTGTAGCGTCCGTGTACGTACGTACGCTCGTGCGTACAGCTGAAATCTGGAAAAACATTTTTCTTATTCCCTGAAAGTTTTATTTAGAGTTACCATAAAATCTGGTCGATTTTTAAACTTTAAATTGCTGTCTATGTGTGTAAGTCTCTCCAGTACCTTTTCATAAAATCCACAAACGGCAAGAAACGTAATAGTGGAGTGACTGACAAAAGCAAAAAATTCTACCCTCCACGGCCCCCACACACGTAAACATTGTAAACCCTAGGTTTATATCGTTGTTTTACCCCCTGTTTTTGTTGTGGCTTGCCGAAAACTCTAGAGATGGGTAGAATAAAGAACTAAGTATTGCATTTTCCCTTGCATTTATTTATTGAAATGTCCCTCGGAAATTGCAAGAAATGGCATTTCCGAGACCTCGAATTTCAAAATTTTTCGGGGGGAGACACCAGTTACGTTTGAAGCGCCTTTGGCACTCGAAATTTTATTCTTGGGCGTACACCTTCACAACCTCACGCTACGCCCCTGAATTTGGGCATCATGAGAGCATAAATTAAATGTAACGTATATTGAAAAATTAGCTGAGACATGCATTCTTACAAAACAAAATCAGCAACTGCTGATAACTTTTACGTAATGCCATTTTTAACAAGATATACAAAGATTATCATTATCTAGATTCGGGATAATTTTCAAAAGAAAATGAGGAACAATTGAAGCAACTGAAGCGCAGGTATTTCTCAGTACGCAAATACTAATTCATGTTCCCGTTGGCGTTTTTTTGTGATTCATTTTCAATTGGTGCAACGTTCACTGAGGACATTTCTGTTTCAGACAGTAGGACGACTGTGTAATATAAAGGAAGTCAAAATATATATAACTAAACAAATAAATTCCAAAACTTATTGATTATGACCCTGACTTTTCTTCACTACTAGTTTCCCAATGGATTTTTTGGAGAGTTTTACTATTTCACAACTTAATTTGTTCCTCCTACGGGCCTAACCACTTTTCGAACAAAGCTGCTCGCTGCAAACTGGTACTACCTTTTACCGATTGCTGAGCCATGATGGTAGTGCCACCTGCTTTGACGAGAACTCCACGGTTAATATTCCATGGCTTAATGAGTTGGCTGTACTCTGTCTTCCCTTTAATCGCCAAATCTGCAAGTATCTTTCCAATGACAGGCACGAACTTCATACCCCATCCACCTGTGAAAAGGACGATGCGGTTATTGCTGCATGCTTCTGGTAGAAAATCCAAAACAAAACCGACGCCGTCGTCGTCTTTATCACTGGATTCAGCAAAGCCAGC